TTTTTACACTTAAACCGGGTCCACCCTTCTAGACCGATAACGACAAAAGCCCGTTCCCTAAGCTTTCAAACCCACCCTTCTAGGTTTGGGACAAGCCACTAGTCTCCACGAAACTAGCAAACATTGCCTCTTGACTAAATGATGCATATGCAATCAACAACAAAATGCACTTAAGACCGATCACACGTCTTAATCCCATGCATTCACATAATTCCTCCCTTCAAGAATTAAAAAAGATTGCACACACAACATATCATATAATCAAGTATTCATACTTTTCATCAACATATTTGTCAAACAATGCACGCATATCTTACAATATGCTCCCATGCATTAATTCACAATAATCAGATACAACAAATATGCATTCATAATTCAACCTCATTACCTTTTCAAACAATGCACACATATTCACAATATGTTCTCATGCATTCACAATATCGCATACAATCAATATGCATTTACACTTCAATATCATTACCACATTTATCAAGCAATGCACACATATTCACAATATGTTCTCATGCATTCTTCACATACAAACAATATGCATATATTTGTCAAAAGACTATATTTCATAATCGATTCCACCATCTAGGATTCACGCCATACGGCTACCCGTAACATATCATATCACAACATGCACAAGCTATACGTTATATAACAAAAGTATTCTGCACAATAACACATCAATCACACACATTCGCGACGGTAAAAATCAACACAACAATATGTTTTCAATTTTCTGCTATAATTGAACTAGGTACAGGCCTCAAAGCCATTTTTTCTTGAAAGACAATCTCGTTAACTTACCAACGCTTCGAACGAGGGTCAAAACCGACTTACGGTTCAAGAGTTATGAATTTTCGAAGTTTTCCGAAAAACCAGAATTTTGCCTAAACACGGCTACGGGATTTTGCATTTTCGCCCGAAAATCCGACTGATTCAATTCTTTTTTTCGAAACAAACACATACTCATACTCACCTAACACATAGCAGTGAATTAGAACCATTAAACACGATTTCTACGACGTCCGATTTTCACTCAAATCTCAAACCCTCAAGTATCCAAAAATGTCAAAATTCACAAACTCAACCAAATTCAATCAAACGAAATCCAATAATCACGGCTAAACATTACCCGACTAAACTATGCAATTTATTTTGAATTCTAACCGTTCAAAACTCGATTCTACCGATTAAACCATTTATGCCCTAGAAATGGAAAATAGAGAAAACTACCCACAAATCCAACACAACTCATACATAATCATACACATTGATCAAATAATAATGTTTCTCACCCTTACCTTGATTGGATTGAAGCTTGAAGTTGATTCTTGATGATTTCTCCAAGTTTCCCTCTTCTCTTCTCTTTTCTCCTCTTTCTCTATTCTTTCTCTCCTTTTCTTTCTTTCTTTCTCTTATGTTTCTATCTCTTTTCTTTTCTCTCCAATTTCCCTTATATATCCTTCTATTTTCTTTCCATCATAATTCTTCTCTCAAAAATATCTATCAATTCATTTCTCACAAAATATCTCATCTTATCATTAATTAGAGAATATCTAATAAATCCACATTATTCTACCAAGTAGAATAAATTAATTAAATCTATTAACTCATTTAAATAAATCCAATAATTTATTTAAATCAGATAAATCACATAAACCAATTAGTTAACACAATTAATCACTTATTGAAAAATTGGGCTGTTACAACCATGTAACACCTGAGGTGACAGAGGACGGTGGTTACATGTAACACCCGTGGGCGAGGGAGTGGTTGTCGGTGTCATGAGGCATGACAATGAGACAATCTTAGCAGCTTCTAGGGGAAAACCGAATTCACATCCGAATGAGAGGGATCCTGAGGATATGCAGGTATGGGACTGCATAGTTGAATGAAGGCTTATAAGGATTAATTGGTACTACCTATACCAACAAGATGCATCTTCTTTTCGGTAGCTCATTCATAAGAACCCCACAGTTAAGCGTGCTTGACTTGGAGCAATTATGGGATGGGTGACCTTCTGGGAAGTTTCTCGGAAAGCGTGTGAGTGAGGAAAAAAGCATGCTGAAAAGACCCGTGTTGGTTTGTGGGGTCAGTCGGTAATCCTAAAAGCAATATGGGGCGTTACAAATGGTATCAAAAGACCCGTGTTGGTTTGTGGGGTCAGTCGGTAATCCTAAAAGCAATATGGGGCGTTACAAATGGTATCAGAGCCATACCTCTCCCAGTACGATGTGGTTCCCTAGCAGCTTCTAGGGGAAAACCGAATTCACATCTGAATGAGAGGGATCCTGAGGATATGCAGGTATGGGACTGCATAGTTGAATGAAGGCTTATAAGGATTAATTGGTACTACCTATACCAACAAGATGCATCTTCTTTTCGGTAGCTCGTTCATAAGAACCCCACAGTTAAGCGTAGGATTAATTGGTACTACCTATACCAACAAGATGCATCTTCTTTTCGGTAGCTTCTTCATAAGAACCCCACAGTTAAGCGTGCTTGACTTGGAGCAATTATGGGATGGGTGACCTTCTGGGAAGTTTCCCGGAAAGCGTGTGAGTGAGGAAAAAAGCATGCTGAAAAGACCCGTGTTGGTTTGTGGGGTCAGTCGGTAATCCTAAAAGTAATATGGGGCGTTACATTGTGCAACACTGGTACCTGTGTTGTGCCTCTGACTTCCATTTTTCGACTTTTCTTTGCCTCCGAAAACGGTGCGACTGTCATGCTATCAATTCCTGCCAAAAACACACTAAAAGAAACCGAATCAAACGCACCAGCGGCAAAAGTAATACAAACTTCAAAATAAGACTTGAATAAAAACAACTACGAGTAACTCAGATAAAAAAACTAAAGCTTCGAAAACAGATAAAAACAGTGCGAAATTAACAACAAACAGAGTCTAAAAACACAAGTGAAATCCACCGATCAGGGAGATTTTTGTTCCTTTTGGATTGACTGCATTATGCAAAAAAATATGCATTGTACAAGATGTTTTGGTGAAGAAATGACACATGTGGAACTGGATGTTTCAGTATGTGTGCAACATCTGATCTTTGTCAGCAGACCTTGATGGATGTTGTTCGAAACATATTTTTCTTATTATGTTTCAATTAGATTTGTTGTTATCTTTTAGCAGTGTGTTTATTAGATTTGTTTAGCTGATAAAAATGATCAAAAAGTCAGTTAGAAGTTTATATTTGAATTCATATTTAAATCAAATCTTTTTGGAGGTTGTTAAAAAACAAATAAAAACTAAATCCTCTACAAATCTAGACGTGGTCAAATCTTTTGCCCGTTGGAAGACAAACCCAGAAAACTGCATTGCTATTTAAGGAGACTCAAACTTAATGTTTGAAGTGTGCAAGTATTGAAGGTTCATGTGTTAAGGTTTATACTTTGAGTCTTTGTCTGTATTGTTGTTTATGCACCAGTCTAGCGTATGCATTCATATCTAAAGGCATAAATTTTGATTTGTTAGTTGAGTTGTAATTCAATATTCAATATTCTGATTATTGTTGTAATCATCAGGGTTAGTGATTGAGAGAAAGTGAGAGGGATTCTCATATTTAGGGATAATCCTAAATAGAAATACACAGGTAGAATTAAGAAGAGGGACATTGAACATGAAGTTGTTCATCTAAGACACTTTGTACTAATTCTATTGAAGAATGAATTTCATTTCTTGGGTGGGAAGCCCCTAAACGTAGGTGTTATTTGCACTGAACTAGGTTAACAATTCTTGGTGTTCTTTTATTGCTTTATGATTTATCATCTTGTTTTATATTATATGTTAATTTTGGTTTAAGATGTTGAACACATTGACTTAATTTCTGGTCCAACATCTGTCCTCTTAAGAATATGATTTTAATTAGCGTAAAAAATATTTTCGTATGTAGTCTGATTTAAATAAAATAATATTAGTATTTAATCAATTTTTTAATTAATTAATTATTTTAAGAATGGATAACTCTATAAAAAACGCCAAAACATAGGTGTTAAATGAATTTTCGCCTCCTTCAAATTCCAAAAGCGTAGGTGACAATTGAATTGACGGACTCTATAAAAAACACCAATTCTCCTGACTTAAACTCTGAAACTTCTAGTGTAGACACCCGTCCGATAGTACTAAACATGAATTTTCGTTCTATTTAAAAATAAATATTTTATATTTTATAAGACACAATATTCTTTTGCGGCAACCAAAGTACACTAAATTATTTAAAAAATAAAATTAATAGATTTAATATATGATTATTTTTATATTTTAGTTGAAAAACATAATTATTTTAATTTTTCCCTTTTTTCCCTTTTGGAAAATAGTTGAGAAATATGATCATTTTTATATTTTAGTTGAAAAACATAAGATTAAACGGTGGCATGTTTTGGAACGGTAGATGAATCTGACGGAGCATAATCTCTGAAAGTTACTCTACCATGAAAGGCAGAGAATCCTTGTCCGATATTTACAACATAATGCGGAGTTTAGGATTTTCCGGAGTATGAAAACTGCCGGCCACTAAGGTTAGTTTCTGTCTGTAGAATCTCGAAATTCAGATCCTCGTCTTTGTTTCTAAACTCCCCTCTCTCTCTCTAGGTTACAATCTAATGCTCATTTTCTTTCTTTTTAATTTTCTAAGATGATTTTCTTGCTTCATATTTTTGTATTTTTGGCTATGAATTGAATTGGGGTAATTGTTTGGTAATTATTTATTCGTGATTAAGATTTACTGCAATGTTATATTTTATATTTTATATTATATGGGTTTGTTTTCATCGCCTCAAAGTTGAATTTGTTCTTACAATAAGGTTAATACCTAAATGTATGGATTTTCTTGTTTAGTATAAAAGATTAGAGATTTACCCCCATGAAACTGTTGGAGATGTTTCCACTCAACAAATTTTAATGTGTTTTACATTATAACAAATTTCAATGTTTTGTTCTTTGCAGCTTTAAGACTGTTTCATAGGTGTATTGTTCAGTGGCAAATATGAACTTTGCTGCACCATCACTTGGTTCTGTTGGTATGTTTTTCTCAGCAATCACTAGCTCTATCCTTCACTGAGTTGTGGGAAATGGGAATGATAAAAGCTATTCCATTATCTTGTATTTTTGTTATATCACTATCCAATTATGTTAAATCTTTAATATTTCTATGACTCGATTTTAGGTGGTAGATCTGCTACAAAAGCATTTGAGTTTGGAAGAACCTATGTAGTCAGGCCTAAAGGTAAACACCAAGCAACTATAGTTTGGTTGCATGGCCTCGGGGATAATGGCTCCAGGTGATAACACACTACCTATTTCTATTTTTTCTCTCTCCAAATTCTTATATTGTTGTGAGATATGTTTTCAAAAACAAGTAGTGACTAACTAATTAATTTCTCTAAGTTACCAACCACTGGGTTAGCTCGGGTCCAATCAGCCCGTGCCCTTCTTGTTTCTGACATGAACTTGCTTAATCACATTCCCCTCCTTCCAATACTACGTCTCATAGTATGCACCTTTCCCTCGAGGTGAAAGGCAGGAAAGGTTGTTTGCAATGAAGTCGTCAATTCCCAATAATTTTTGTGGTCCTTAAGTAAGTCAGCTCGGAAAGGCTGAGGTTGTATAATACTATAGACAACCTTCTTAAAAATGTAAACACGGAAACCCAGGTGCCTCTGTTGTGTGCAGGTAGGAAAAAATTATATGCAACGTAACAACTCTTTTCACCTATGGAAGGTGCAGCGATTCGTTGGTTACACTCTTGGTGCCAAGACGTCCTCGATCCAGATTGAATCATTTTCCACCTCTATGATTAAAAGATTCGGAATCAATTAGGGTAGCTTTGTTTTATATCGACACACTATCATGAAACAGGAAGACAAAGAGTAGAGTCACCCATTCAATCAATAACATTATCACTGTTTCTCTTTACTTTAGGTTTTATGAGAGTTAGGGCTGTTATAGTTGGTATTAAACCAAATCGGCAGCCATTATTATAAGTTATTAACCATCTTTCATAAGTTTTATTTGTGTTGTATTACAAGATTAGATTTGCTAAAAAATGATTTGAGTGTATCATGGCAAATGAAATTATGACTTATGTTTTGACATCAGATTCAGGTAATATGTTTATCTTAAAGAAACTTTTTTTTATTTTTGTTTTTGGTGGATGGCTTCCATATCTGATAAAGGAAATGTCACGAAGATGTTAACATTTAAAATGTCCCACATGAGGCTTCTCCTGTTCTTTCTAATCAAATGCAAATATCCATAAAAAGAGATTCATGAGGCTTCTCCTGTACTTTCTAATCAAATGCAAATATCCATAAAAAGAGATACATGAATCAGTAAAAGGGAAAACAACATGAATATAAGTTAGATTCAACTTAACTAAACTACCATGATTTTAATGACGTGGTTATAACTCAGAAGACAAAACCCTTATTTAACTCATCACTTTTGCAGTTGGTCCCAGTTATTAGAGACCCTTCCTCTTCCAAATGTAAGGATACAAAGCTTATGCCGAGTTTCTTATTCTTTTTTTTTCCAATTAGATAATTTCTATACTAATAAAAAAACTTGTATTGTTGAATTGCTCCTTGCAGATTAAATGGATATGTCCAACTGCTCCTACTCGACCAATGTCTGTATTTGGTGGCTTTCCTTCTACCGCTTGTAAGTTTGATTGTTTCTTAGGCTCTGATTACTGCCATCAACTTCTAGGGTCCATTTTGGTTCACTCTACGAGGGAGTCTGATCCCCTCCTCTTCCCTCCCCCTCTAAAATATTGAACCAATCACTCCTTATTTTAAATGTTCCCTCCCCTCTCTTCCAAAAATACCCCAACCAAACAGACCCTTAGCGTATAAGGTGCCACACGGTGAGAAGATGCACACAATCACCACGTCATGTTAATTAGTAGAATTAAGCATCCTTTCCATATTTAATAATACTTAGTATCAAAAGGCGTTCATGTAGAGAGGTGGCACTGAGGTTTAATTTAAATATTAAAATAACCCTAAATTGGTCTTGATAAATTTCTTAACTGCAACTTTATGTCCTTTAGGGTTTGATGTGGAAGAGCTTTCTGAAGAAGCTCCCGATGATCTTGAAGGTTTGGATGCTTCAGCAGCACACGTTGCCAATTTGTTGTCTACAGAACCTGCAGACAGTAGGTTTCCTTAATGAAATTTTCTGTCAACGCTTCTGACATAGTTCTTATTTTAAAAGTAGTTGGAATGAAAGTAGTAATCATCAACTTCAGATACTCTCGTGGGCAATGAACTTTCATGCTACTTTTATTTGTCTCGGTTGTATAGTTCTTGCCAGTCACATGAAATTTCGTTTGATATCTGTGTGGCAGTTAAGCTTGGTGTTGGAGGGTTTAGCATGGGAGCAGCGATTGCCCTTTACTCTGCATCCTGCTTTACTGCTGGAAAATATGGGAATGGCAATGCTTATCCAGCCAACATAAGTGCAGCTGTTGGTTTAAGTGGCTGGCTTCCATGTTCAAAGTATGTCATTTTTCTACTTTAACTTATCATGTTGCAAAAAAAATTCATTCTTTGTATCATGGAGTTGTTATCTTACTGTTCTTGTCTAGGACTTTGAGTAACAAGTTACAAGGTGTAGATGAAGCTACAAGGCGTGCTCAATCTTTTCCCATTTTGATGTGTCATGGAAAAGGTAATCTCATCGAAATTTAAAATTAAACAATGTTTTCGTAGATCATTAGAGAGAAGGGGTGAAATAACGTTGGCATATATATATTATTTCAGGTGATGATGTGGTTCCTTATAAGTTTGGTGAGAAATCATCGAAATGCTTAAGTTCTAATGGATTTCAGGATGTAACTTTTAAAGCTTATAATGGGTAATTAACCGAATTTATTTTAAAATTTTGTTGTTGTAGTTTTTATAGAAGAATCTTTATCTGTTGCTTCATTTTGATTATTGTTTTGGTTCATACACATTACAGGCTTGGCCACTACACAATTCCAGAAGAGACGGATAATGTTTGTGCTTGGCTAACATCAAAACTGGGTCTTGAGGGCGATGCTGCTGCATAGTTTGCATTAGCAAGAAATGAACCAAAATGTGAAAAAAAAAACATTCATTCCCTTTTTTCTATTAGTTATATTATTACTATAATTTAATTGTAGTTGTGACATTGTCAGGAGTATCTTGGGGGTATTATTGATTAAGAAAACAAAAACGATAAGTATTTATTGGAAACATTGTTTGTCCCTGCAATCACTATTGTTGTCTATTGCTAGACAGAGATTTGTAAACATATATCTGATTGCTTTGAGTTTCTCTGATGATGGTTGTTCACAGTGCCTTTACGCTCTATTTGTGATACATGTGTTAAGAACCCAAAAATGATACAGCTGAAAACAAACAAATGCAGAATGGGATGATTGTTTATTATAATAGACTTATGATAAATGATTGACTAATTGGGATCACTATATGCCACGTGGTTGTTACAATACTCCCTTTTGAAACTCCAACCTTGACCTCAAGGTTGGAGGTAGGGAATCAGCTTCTCATTGTACCAACATCTTCCCAGTTGCATCATCGGCAACCTTCCTTTCCATTGAATTAGCCACTGCCGTATTTCTTCCTTTAACTGCTTCACTACACGAGTTGCCTGCATCTTTTTTTGGTTCCACTTGTTCTGTCCTCTCTCCTTCTAAATGATTAGGGTGTTCTTCCTCTTCATGATAATCTCTTACTGCCTTTTTGAGTAGTAAAACATGAAACACCGAGTGAGCCTTTGAACCTTCCGGTAACTTCAACATGTATGCCACTAACTTCAACTCTATCACTAATAGGATAAGGGGCAAAGTTCTTTGCCGCTAGTTTTGCATGAATGCAAGTAATCACCAACTGTTGTCAATGGGCTCTTAACTTGACAAACACCTATTTGTCCGACGAATATCTGCTTGTGCTTTCATTTGATTTTGGGCCTTAAGAAGTTGATCCCTTAGTTGACGCGAAACTTCATCCCTATCCCAAAGCTCTCTTTGCACTGTTGCAAGTCTTGTTTCACTTAGTCCCCCAACGTACCAAAATCGACGCCTTCCTACCATAAGCCACCTTAAAGGGAGTTTGGTTTGTAGCAGAATGTTACGTGTCCTTGCGATGATTTACGCCAAAGCATCAGAGATAGGCCTCAAGGCAGCGGTTAACTACTTCTGTTTAAGCATCTATCTCTAGATGGTAAGCAGAACTGAACTTCAAATGTGTACCCTGTAGTTCGAACATCTCTCTCCAAAAATGACCCATGAAGACAGTTTCTCTGTCACTTACAATAGATAGAGGGATACCATGTAATGAGATAATTTCTTTAGTAAAAACTTCCGCTATGTATCTGGCTATGTATAAGTGTTTAAAGGGAACAAAATGACAATATTTTGACATTCAATCAACTACCACCATCAATGCCCCATATCTTTTAGACTTAGGTAGACCGGTGATGAGGTCTATCAGATAAATCTTCCCACACATTTTCTGGAACTACCTGCACATCATTTTTCATCCCTGGGCAATGTACATTTGCAACTCCACATTCCTCACTGACTGACGAAACTCCAACACCACTTCACCACGCAATTGAGACGAACATCCACCCATGCTCTACTCTCTGGTAACCAACCTCCTTCATCTATATCAGTGACTTTTCTAAAACCTCTCCCAAATTATGAGCCTGAAAACTTTTTTAGCTTAGCTGCTATGTTTGCCGAAGGTCTTCTCCAGCATCACGATCAGATTTCCCGATATGTTCTGGACGACGCTCTCCACGGCTGCAAGCGTGTGTGAACACATGAGAGCTCACTCTCCAGTGCTTCAACCTTAGCCTCCATTTTTCGTAACATGATCTGTTGTATCTTAGGTGACATTCACTAATCCCCTCAAATGAAATCTAATAGGTCAGACCAATTTGCTAGGAATCCAAAAATGGTACATCTTAAAACAAACAAATGCAGAAAATGATGATTGTTTATTATAGGTGGGTTGGAATATAGAGATGGAAAGCAGTGCTCCTTTAGGAAGCTATACTAATTTCATCATGTAATTTGTATGAAGTAGAGGTATCTATTTAAGACAATCCTCTGGCTTCACTATACTTTTTCTAATCTTTTGTAATGAGAACAATATAATTTTACTTTTCTATACTTTCAGAACCTTAAATTAAAATTTGATCTCAATCTGGTTGCTTTTCTTGGATATTTGACACAAGACTATTTCAATTTGACATTTACTATATAAATCCACCAAAGAAACTAGCAAAATACAGTCTTAAAAGAACCTTTTTATATCTCAGACAGTTTGCTAACTTAGATGTATGTCTGTCATATACATGCTTAAGAACTCCAAAAAAATAAAAACCATAGTTAGCACCACCAAATAAACCACAAGCCCCCATGTACAATCATTAATACACATAAACAAATACAAAGACGAACGCGCCGAAAACTGAGAAATTCCGGGCAAAAATAGTTACTTCAAATCAAGAAGGCTCAATCATTTCACTTGAGTCTCTTTCACAAAAGCAACATCTTCTGTGGTAGCAACAGGTGACAGAAGGCATTTTGCTTGTTCATCATCTAGTTCCATCGATTCACCAGGCGTCGCAATTGGTAGAGAATCAGTAACTTCATCTTCTGCAAACATTCACCACATGCATATCAAAGAATGTTTAACATGCTATTTCTATTTCAAACGTTAACCGGAAAAAGAAAAAAAAAAAAGAGTATACACAAACACACCAGAATGGTATTCGGGTAGCTGTTTAACCGTAGTTACTTGAATACTATCAGGAAGTAGACAACTGCATAAGGAACCTGAGATTTTGACTTGCTTAGTAATATGCTCAATGTGAAATGCAGAAAGAATAATGTAAATACGGCCGGTCTTACATACATACCTATCCTAGCGAGACGATTAACCCAACCAGGGAGGCGTTTTCCGGTCAATCTACCTGAGATATCATCTGTGAAATGATTGCAGTTCTTAGATATAAGGTGATAAGTATCTCCGTGATACTCACTAGCCATGTTTTCGATAAATGTCCGAAACTCGGAAGGTGGCATGTTTACTTGGCCCAAAGGGACAGAAGTTCTGTACATAAAACCAGGGCACTTCCTTGGCTCCACTTCAAATACTCCACTTGATGGAAAGTCATGAGCTCCAAATCCATATTCCTTACCATGTACTATTCAAACACATAATTAAAACAACATAACCAAACACATTATTTCAACACCTATAAAATCTTCACAATCAAAATCTTCCTAAGTGGATGATACTTCTCAAGCACCATATTTACCGAGTGAATTGAATCTAATCGTGTGTCTGGGTTGGAGTCAAACTCCGATTCATTCAGAAGACACCATATTCAAAAAGCATGAATTGCGGCCCGTAGCCGCAATATTGCTGATGCAACAATAGTCTCTCCAATCACAATTGCGGTGTGATTTAAATACACAGTGCAATCACATTAAGGATCACATTTTAACCATGTTATATTTTCATTAAAAATCAAGTTTTCAGAATTCTATAACTCAAATTTTATTTTTTATTTTGTTTTGTGTTGTAAAAATCCTTAACTTTAAATTTAAACTGTCTACAAACATCTCTTTGTCAAAAGTAACGACACGTTAACGCAATCGCAATTTAAAACCATGCCATAAGGAAGAAAAAGAACCTAAATTCCAATGTATTTATTTTGAAATAATTAATGGATTTGTCTCTATTTGATATGTAGGTTAGGTTTATGGATATTTTTTAATAAAAGACAATTACATTACAAATGAAACATATTTTATTATTGTTATCATCATCATCATTATTTTTTAGTTTAATGACATAAAAATTTCATGAATAACTGGAATGTGGCATGTGCGAAAAACAATCAGAGAAATATGAAACATATTTTATATGTAAGAACAAAATTTCCTACCTTAAATAGGATTCTGTAAGAGAAAAATTGCAATTAATAATGCAATATATGTGAAACAAACCTTGAATGCCAGAGTGGTAGATTCCAAATCCCAACCAATATAAGTAATTATTGAGAGGGGTGAGATCATAAACATTCAACACAACATTGGTGTTGTTGTTGTTGTTTTTGTTATTTATATTTTCTTTTTGAGATTGTGATGTAGAATTGAAGTTGCTCTTCGTCCCCATTTTGGTTTCACAGAGATTAATGTAGCCTCTATGAAATTGAATTCCCTGGGGAAAAAGGATTGCAAATCTCCAAAACAATTGGAATTATTCAGATTTATTAATTTGTTTAATAAAAATTCATATCAAAATATAAATGGATATATATTTATTTAATTTAAATTATTTACGTAAAAAAATTTGTGACAGCCACTCTTATGTTTGTTTATCTGTTTTGAAAAAGTGCAAATAAGAATAAAATATTATTTTTAGGTATAATTTTGATATAAACTTAAAATATCCTTTTGAGTTAAATTAATATGTAGTTTGACATATTTAATCTGAATATATCTCTTTTTTTATAATTTTAAATTAAATAAGAATAATTGCAGATGAAAAATTGATACTGTAACAAATGAATAAATATATATTAAGGGGCTAATATAGTGTGATATATATTATAGATTTAAATTTATAAAAATTGTAAAAAAAAATGGATGAATGCAAAGGTTGAGAAAGATGGAAAATATAACAAAATAATAATAATAAAATTATAATGTAATAAAAGAAATTTCTTTTTATTTTTTAAAATCACCTGTTATTCGGTTTCCTTCTCTATTTTTATCTGAATATTTATTTTATTTTTAATTTTATTTGAATCTCTTATTTGATTTCTTTTAAATTGATATGTCTAATCCGTTTATTCTTATTTGTAATATATTTTAATATTATTTTCTTTTCCTCCCTCCCGTGTGTCTATCTGTTACTTTTGTCTATATGCAAATACGTGAAAATATGAATGATATTTATCTTTCTAATTTTAATGACTAAACATGTAATGAATATTTATAACTATAGTGGAAAAAATTATTATAGTCTTATGCAATAGCCGTTTATAACAATAACTAAATATCAAACTCTACAAAAAAAAAAATACACAATTTAATATATGCAATGTCTAAAAATATAAATATTTTCTTATGGATGCTTTTTTACTATACCAATGTATGTATTTTAGCTGATATGTATTACATTTTATCCAACTATAATTTAGAAAGTTTCAAACCACCTTAATAATTTTAAGAGGATGTGGAGACCAACAATTGATATCAAAAATTTGAGAAGATCAAACAAATATGATAACATAAGACGTATCATATGAGAATGTCATTTTTAACGAGAATATGAGAATAAATCTAAATCATTAAATTTTAAAACAAATGATAGAGATTATGTGTCATTTTTTTTTTCTCTTCTCCGTCATTTATTTTAATAATGGATGAGAGGGAAAACTCACACATAATCTCCACCATTTATTTTAAAATATAATTATTCAAATTCATTTTTATATTCTCACATAAAAATAAAAATGACATTCTCAAAACTTTATGATATACATATATCTTTTCTATGTTAAAATAATGAAAATTTTGATTCGCTATTAATTTGAATCATCATTTTTAGTGTAATAAATAAATATTTTCTCATTTATAAAAGACAAAAAAGAACCCGTTTGAATTCACCTTCCTCCTTACTATTTTATAATGGGAGATATAATTTTTAGATAAAACAATGTTACAACATTTATTTTAAATAATGCTATACTACTTTCAAAATTTTATAATATTAAATAAATAACAATTCACAAAACAGCACATGAAACAGTAAAAAAATGAAACAACATAAAAGAAAGAAAAAGAAAAATATAATAAATAGAAGGGAAAAAAGTATGATGGAACAAATACCCATCAAAAAGAGAAATGAAAGTGTGGTAGAAAGTCTCCCACTTTATTATTTTAATCAATCTTAACAATAATGCAGAATGTAAAAAATAAAGAATATGATGAAAATTTTAGAGATGCAAATGCAATCAATGACTCTTTTATAGTTTTTCCATTCTCTCTTCATCTTCTATCTTCTATTTAAAACTTCACAATTTAAACCTCTCATACACATAAAGACAAATAAAATGATTTGGATCACAATTTTCTTTGGTTGACTAATGAGTTTTGGATTGTTTCTTCTCTTTGAATTGTATTTATGCATAAAAAAACGAACATAAATGGCAACTGCAAAGAAGAACAGAGAAATACAAAGAAGAAAAAATGTAAATACTAAAGTGTATAAACAATGAGTGGCATGATGAAATAATAGAGTAAGAATTTTGATTAAAAGAATACCATGAGGTATAGACCAAAGAGTAGCATAAAAATAAAAGATACCAAACCAAGTACGATAAGATTTGTAATTAATATATTTTCATAACTTAGTTGTGTAATGTAACTGCAGCATAAACGAAATCCTCGTGATCACATAACCTTACATTAAAAATCAAAACTCAAAAGAACTTCATCTCAACCAATTTCAGACATGTAACTAATAAGTTAGAATTACTTTAAACAAATTGTTTCTCCCAAAAGTAGAAAAAAATTATAAAATATGAAAAATAAGAAAAGAACAATGTATCTAGAAAAATATAACTAAAAAAACCTACAATGCATATTAAAAGTGAAAGCATCATTCCTTAAAATCTTTTAAATACAGTTATTTTTGTCCCAATTCAATCTCAATATTGTACAATTCCCAATCAATTTCACAATAAAAGTATGAAATTTGAAATTAGAAAACACAATAAAAAAAGATAATGTTAGATACTGATCGTACCTGATCAGAGAGATCGCTGGCCGACTACGCGTCTAAGCTGTCGAACTGTTGACTTGACGGACAGAGGGGGGGGGTGTGTGTGCCTGAAACACATTCCGATGCCAAAGTAAGGGACGAGCAGAGTGATAATAAGTACAGAGAGAAAGGAGTAAGAGTTAAATTACCTGACCCTCTAGTGGAAGAGAGTATTTATAATGAGCCCCCAACGCAAGGCCAACGATTACTATGCGTTGGGCTGGGCTGCCAGGCCCAACGCTGATAACTGCTAGGGTTGGCGTGGCGTCTTGAAGACCAACACGTGGTCTTCGCCCTAGTGTAACTGTTCCGTGCTATCCGGGAGGTGGAGGACCGAATAATCAGGGCACGGATAGTTACTTGATGACGTGTCTCCTCGTAGGAGACACGTTGAGAACGTGGGGGAGGTCAGAGGAGCTTCCCGAGCTGGATGGGTTCTGCCCGACCGCGGGGCATAAGAAAGGCGAGTCGGGCAGATATGAGGATCCTGCTCGACTGCCGTTGGTTCGTACCCGACGGAAGAAAATGTTATGTCCGACAGGTCTCTGCCCGACGATGAGGTCTTATTGGGCCTTCCAACCTAGTGGGATTTGGTCCTGCTCAACTATGGGCCAAGTGTCGGTCCAGTCCAAAATAGTAGCCCTCCAAGTCGTTGCTCGCGGTCAAGCGAGCTATGACTTAAGGTGTAAAAAGCGTCGAGCATGTCGCTAAGTCGGGCAGGGGGAAGCCCGAGGTCGAGGAGGGGGAAGCTGAAGGAACGTAAGGAAGGTTGGGGGTTACCACGTGTCACCCTACAGAGGCTACGGGCTAGGCACTTGAGTGCCTAGCGACGCTTCGTTTTCTGTGCTAGGGCGTATATATACGTGGGCCCAACTCATCTTTTTGTTTAATTGTTCCTTTTGCTGTTGCTCGACCTTCTGATTTGTCTGCTCGACGCCTACAGTCTTTCTACTCGACGCGACCACTTTTTTCCACCAAATCACGTAAGTCTCTATCTCCTTACTGGTGCCTTTTAGTATTTCCGACGGTGCTCCCGGTGGTTCTGCTAGGGATGTCGGGGTGACTGTGGGCTTTTCCGGCGAATACGCCGGAGAGTCCTTCAAAACTAGGGTTTTGACTGATTGTCCTCGGCCCTTGCGATGAGTGGACAAGGGAGGATCGATGAAAGTTTGAATATCCTGAGGGTGGTCGATGAATACCCTGGACAAGAATGATGAATGCGTCGAGGATAAGGATTGCATTCCCCGGGCACATCGGAGGGTCGTGTTACCCCAAAATGGTCTTCTGGGCGCTTACACCCTTTCACTTGAACTGCGGTGGAAGGGTAGATTTGATTTGGCTGTCGAATTCACCAAGTTCCTTTGCTTTTCAGGTGAATGGCCGACCATGAAGAAGAGGGGACGATGTGGTATTTGTCCGACGACGAAGAGGGTCGTCAAGATGAGGCCGTCGTGGATCCTCTGGACAGACCGGTCGGGGAGTGGGTCGGGGACGAACCCCTCAATTATATGTCACGGTTCTTGCTCGATAATTTAGATGTTTTTGCCGTGATTGAGAATAGGGAGGTCGGTGCTCCCCATCAGTTTCGAGCATGTCGGCCTCGGAAACTAGATCGTATATTCTCTCGCTACGATGGGGGCTGGTTCCCCATGTACGAATTTGCTTTCAAGGAGGCGGGGATGCGTATGCCGTTCATAGGCTTTCAGCAGGGCGTGTTCGACCACTTAATGCTGGCGCCGTCTCAAATTCACCATAACTCCCTCGCTTTTCTCTGGGGATTCGATATCGTTTGCAATTATCTCGAGCTCGGGGTCACCATACCGTTTTTCTTCTGTGCCTTTCATCTGCAGCGGAAGACGGTAGCTGGCCGATATAATTGGGTCTCCCTGAAGCAGCCGACCAAGCTCTTTCGGGCATACATCGACTCTGTACGAGGGTTCAAGGATAGGTGGTTCGTGGTTATACCGGTGACGGATGAGACCTACAATACAATGTTCCGGCGAGAGGTCACTGTCGTGGATGGCGAATTCGAGGAGAGCTTCGAGTCTAATTTCCCCTTAGAGTGGATGGAGTTGCACTTTCGCTCTAGTACCGAGAGCTTCATCTGCCGACCTAATCGCCTGGGCGAGGAGGATAGTCTGGCTTCTAATAAATTGGTCGACTTTGTCGGGCGTCTTCCCCCTCGCAAGTGCGTGACCCCGTATGGGCAGTACATCCGTGATGCCGACGGGGAGATCCGGACCGAGACCCAGTGCATCAATACGAAGGCCCTCCTCGAGTGCTGGACAGAGGACGAGGCTCATCGATTTTTATGTAGTGGGACGCTTCCTCGACTTTCCTTTGTT